AATATGGGGCCAGGCGCTGAGAGAGACATTTTCCAGAGTCCTTTACTGTGCCCAAGCCTAGCCACCCAGGGACAGAGGCCCGGAGAGCGGAGGCCCAGCAGGAACAGGGCACATGGCCAGCAGGCTCCTGCCAGGGAGGGTGACAGCGCCATCACTCATGCTGGTCATTAGAGGAGCTCCTCCGAGGGGAGGGGCTGTTTACAGGACAAGGCCACTCGGGACAAGCAAGCTGGGGACAGCAGGGCCTGGAGAGGCTGGGGAGGAGACTGAAGGGGCTGCACAGGAAGGCCACCTGGTGGGAGGAAAAAGGGAGGAGCCAAGAAACAGTCTCCTGACCTTGGCTTCTGTGGCCTCCCAGCTTCTTCTTGCCCCTCTGACTACCCACAGGGCAGAGTGTGGGGGCATCCAGCACCACTTTCTGACACCTCCTCAGAGTCACTGTGAAGCGCTCTGTTTGCTGCACAGAGTGAAATCCAGGTTCAAGGCTCTCCACACTCAGGCTGCAGCTGGCCACTGTGTGAGGCCTCTTCATCTCCATTTATACAGGAACCATCTTTGCCAGGATCACCCTGCTGGCAGGCCATGCAGCTGGGGCAGGAACCCAGATCTCCAATGCCAAAGCCCAGACTTAGTGGCTCCACCAGCTTCTGTCCCCTCGAGTGCCAAGCTCAGCCCACAGGATGGTGTCCCACTCACTGCCCTGTGCCTTCCTCGCCGGAGCTGTCCCTGAAGGGTGGAAGAGAAAGTGGAGTAGAAAGGAGCACGGAAAGGAGGGTTGCACACCGTGGAAGTGCTCGTCTCACCTGGGATGCCACCCTGGGGTGGCCAGGCAGAGCTGGTCCCCTCTGAGTGCCCAGGCTCCCTCTGCTAAGGGGAACTTTGCAATTAGCACCACTTTGCAAGCCCTGGAGAGAATGAAACTACTTACCTGCAAAGAGAAGCTGCCGTGGCTATGAGTGGGCAAAAGTGTGTGTGAGAGAGTAGGAGAGGGGAATTCCAAGGGTCCAAATGTCCAGATTCCACCCACTCCTGAATCTCTTTGCTGAATCAGGCTGCAAAAAGAATGGGATGCAGAGGGTTGAGATTTATTTATTTGTGGTGTTGGACCCAGTGCCTTTGCACTGAGCTACACTCCCTCTCCTCACCCATTTATTTTTTATTTTGAGATGGGGTCTCGTTAAGCCGTTGGTTTGCCCAGATTGGGCTCAAACTTTCGATCATCCTGCCTCAGCCTCCTGCAGTACTGGGTTTACAGGCCCAGCTGAGAGGGGTGATCTGTGGGGTGAGGGAAGACCGGCCTGATGGCTTACACGGGGCTCTCCCTCCTGGATATCCTGGCAGGAGTGTAGGTGGCCAGCTTGGCATGGCAGGAAGAGGTTCCGATGATATAGGATTTAGCTGGGGATGGCCTTTGTGCTGCTGCTGCTCATATCTAGTCCTTTCCTGGCTCCTGACCTCACTTTCCTCCCCTGTAAAAAGGTGGGTGAAAGCCGGGCGTGGTGGCTCACGCCTGTAATCCCTGTAATCAGCACTCAGGAGGCTGAGGCAGGAGGATTGTTGCGAGTTCGAGACCACCCTGCACTACAAAGTGAGCTCAAGGCCAGCCTGAACTGCACAGTGAGACCCCGTCTCAAAAAGAAAAAAAAAAAGGTGGATGGATGAGATGTGCATTCCCTGCTCTGAGGCTCTGAGGCCCCAGGGACCCCACAAAAGTTCCCTTTTACTTGTTCCTAGTTGCTGAGACACCAGAGTGGGTGCCCCCCCCCCCGCTTCCCTCTCCAGTGCAGCTGCGACCTGGGGGCTGCAGAGAATCTACTGGGATGAGATACCCTCCCTCGGGTCCCACGTCCCTCCCTGGTCCAGGATTCGCATGCTCAGAGGTGGCCCATCTCCTGACAGCTGTGTCTTCCACCAGCACAGTTAATTTTCCGCTGTTCAGAAAAGTGACAGCAACTTGAAGCAAAGCAATTGGGACGTAAAAGAGCCCCAGCTGCTTGGAGCCAAAGGAAAATAAACAGTCGGGGCCTATGTATACTCCACTGCCAAGAGCAGCCATTCTTCATGGGCTGATTAGCACTGCCGGCCCCAGCCTGGTCCCCTGCCTGGAGGGCAGAGATGAGACCCAGGAACGCTGCTGCCCTCAGACCCACTCTCCCCAGCCGTGCTGCGGACTTGACAGAGTCTTCCTGGCCACCTGCCCATGCCCGGGGCCCTACAGAAGCGATGCCCTCCCCTCTGAGACCTGAGCTTGCCGTCTGCCTCCCTGAGGGTTCCCCTGATTGACTGATCAGTGAGATCATTCAGTCTTTCAGCAGATATCCAGTGAGCACCATTCATTCATTCCACAGGTATTTACGAAGCCCCTGCTATGTTCCAGTCACTGTTCTAGGTCCTGCTTGCACTGGGGGTTTAACTTAGTAGAGGGATGTCTCAGTCTGCTGGAGGGGGCCCTGGGTTCAGTTCCCTAAAACTGAAAAGCAACCCCTGCCCTGAAAAAACCCCTTTTGCCCTTAGGAAGTTCAAATTTTAGTAGGAGGAGAAAGACAGTGAGTAAAGGTACATGGAGCACAAAAAATGATGCTCAAGTGTTTTGGAGAGAAATAAACAGGAACAGGAAGTAGGGAAGGCAGAGAAAGAGGAGGCAGACTTTAAGGTCAGGAATGGCCTCAGAATGACAGTGACATCTGAGCAAAGACCTGCAGGGGTGGGAGGGAGGTGAAGCCCGGCGGAGGGACAAGGATCAAGTACCCAGTGCTGGGAGTGGGCCTGGGGTGTCCAAAGAAGGATGGAAATGAGGTGGTGATCCTGAGCAAAATCCTCTGGGTTTTGCTCCACTGGGTGAAGAGCCACCCAAGGGCTCTGAGGGCAGGAGTGACATGTCCGGTTGCCATACCAGCAGGCCAGAGTGGCAAACAAGGTCACAGCCTCCCAAGGAGGGAGGCGGGGTGTGGGAAGGCCTGACCTCTCCTGCCCTGGTCCCTCAAGCTACATAAACACTTGGAGGGCCAGAAGGGCATGGGTGCCAGACACCCAGAGCCAAAGTCCAGGGGAAAGCTTGTGGACAGCTGTGCAGAGCTGCAGACAGTGTCTGTAGGGTGTGCTGAAGTGTTCCCTGCTGCTTCGAGCACTGGGGGTTAGGGGGCTGGATAAAGACCAATTTCAGCTGGGTGTGGTGGCGCATGCCTGTAATGCCAGCACTTGGGAGGCTGAGGCAGGAGGATCACTGCAAGTTTGAGACCAGCCTGAAAAGCATAGTAAGACCTTGTCCCAAAAAGACAAAAAACAAAACAAAACAACCAAAAAAAAAACCCGAGCAGAGTCAGGCTCTGGCCTCTGATAGATTCCAGCCCTCGCCCCCTGGACTCAGGTGTCTCTGTAATGTGTCTCTGTAATGGGCCCTCTTTGCACCTGCTTTGTAACCGGAACACCCTGCAGTGGTTGAGAGGCCAGGGGACGAGGTGTGAGGCCCCTACTCCTGCCCCTCCACTTAACAGATCCTGGGCTTCAGGAGGGCGGCCTCTGCCTCCTGCTGTCGTCCTCACCTGCAAACCAGGCAGGGTGCCTGCCCCAGGGGCCACCCTGGCTAAGGGTGGGCACAGTGGATACACTCACACAGTTTTAACCTTGCGGACCCTGGGGCCAGAGGAGCAGATAGAGTGGCATAAAAGCCTCACCCACAGTTCTTGAGAGGAAATGGGAGCTGTGAAAATGCAAAGCCCCAGGCATGTACATTGTCAGGAGAGGCCCATGAGGTTCCAGCTAGAGCCCAAGGCGTGAGAATGCAGGAGAGGGAGGGGAAGGGGTTGGCCCCGGGGAGCAGATGAAGCCCCCAAAGCGGTGGGCACAGAGAGTAGGGTGAGAGGGGGCGGATGCCAAGGGGCCCATCTGAAAAAGTCTGTCCATTTCAGAATGCCAGTCCAGCAAATGCAGCACGGGGGCCCATCTGAAAAAGTCTGTCCATTTCAGAATGCCAGTCCAGCAAATGCAGCACGAACAAGCCTGTTGCCCGGGTTCAAAGCTGGGCTCTGCCCCTTCAGGTCATGTGACTTCTGAGTTTTTTTTTTTTCCTCCCTTAAAAGGAGGCCCAGTGCTGCTGCTGAGCTACCTATCATTTATAATCCCTAAAACCTTGCCTAGGATGTTAGCACATGCCTGTAATCCCAGCACTCAGGAGGCTGAGGCAGGAGGATTATCATGAGTTCAAAGCCAGCCCAGACTACAGAATGCGACCCTGTCTCAAAAAACCAAAACAAACAAAAAATCTTAAAAGCTCCAGTCAGTCCACTGTGGGAAATAGTTCTCTCCATGTGAATACTGTGCTGTTGTGATTCTGTACCAAAGACATCTCAGAGGGCCAGGACTTTAGCCAGCACCTGCTTGGCATGAGGTCCCGAGTTCAGTTCCTGGTACTGCCCCCCCCAAGACATCTTAGAATGCTGCTCACGGCAGAGGAACCACCAAATAGCAGGCGGCTATTCTGTGGGTGGGAGAACCTAAGGCGATGGGTCCCAGGGTCACACATTTCACATGTCCAGTACTGGTCAGGAGGCAAGAGCAAGAAGTGCTCTGTGCTGTTAAGAAAAACTCTCCTGACAGCTCTCTGGGAGGCTGAGGCAGAAAGATTGCAAGTTTGAGCCCCGCCTGGGCAATTTAATGACGTAGCACGATTTTGTCTCAAAAATGTGCTGGGCATGGGGCTCAGTGTGAAAGCCCTTGCTTAGAGGGAGAGGGAGAGAAGGAAGGGAGGGAGGGAAAGAAGGGAGAGGAAGGGGAGGGGAGGGCTGTGGGAGTAGGGCAAAAGGACCACAGGTCTTTTCAGCATCCCTGGGGCCAGCTTGAGCATCAAAGTTATTTGATTACTAAGAGGCACGTACCTTTGTCCTTATAGCTCGGATACAAGAAGTCTTTTGTTCAGGGCTCAGACTTCAAAAAGTCCTATGCTACCCTGCAGGTGCATATGCCCAAGTATGGACGTCCATGTACATGAAGCGGCAAAAGACTTTCTCCAGGACAGAACCACAGACGTGATGGTTTTATTGCCCCTTAAGACATTAACCAGCTTCTCAGCAAACATATTTCAGCGTGTCTTTCCCAACTAAATTTATAAATCTCAATCTCTCCAATGTTCTTTCTATCCAGCTTTGTGTTTGTCTGGTTCCATTAGGAGTCCGGTCAGTCACTGATGTGATATAAATTATACTTTAGCAGAACCGGAACTCAGAGGCTCTGCCTTGTTGTGTGGCTTTGGGTCAGTCCTTCAACTTCTCCACGTCACATTATCTCACTGGCCACACAGCGAGGACGCCGGTTCCCTGGACTGCATCCGGAGGGGACAAGGACGTCAAAGTATTTCCTAGCATTCACAAGAGCTCAGGTTTTCCTGTGGTCACTAATTGGACAAGGCTATTCTAGGGCTGGAAGGTCTGGGGCCATGAAGGCGGCCTTCTGCAGACTTGGAGCACCGGGCAGCCTGGCGCCAGTTTCCTGCCTAGAAGCCAGTCCTAGATGTCCGAAGGAGGACGAGACTGCATTTAACAATGCAGGTTAGCAGGTCCCTAACTAGTGGCCCCCACAGCTTGGATTCTTTCAAAGTCTCATTTTATTCTGCAGGTGTAGAAATGCCCTTGGCCAGCAGCACAAGTCCACTGCCCTGACTATTGCGCATGGCTGCTGCACGTGGACACACAAACACTCAGAATGACGTCACAACCAGGGATCCAATGAACAAGGCTGGCAGCCAAGGTCAGGCGAACAAGGAGCTGGGCCAGCTGACCCTGAACAGAGGAGGTACGAATCCAGCTGACAGTGGGAGAGGACAGGAAAGGCATTTCTTCCAGGCCCAGGGAGCAGCAGGAGCATTGGCTGGGAGGAGAGATGGAACTCACAGGACGCAGACGAAGGCATACATGGAGCAGGTGAGGCGGCAATGGGCTCACACCGTGCCTGACCTGAAGCGTGAGGGTTAGTGCTCCACTGTTCCTGTGGGGATGGCAGAAAAGGGAACTGGCAAACAGCTGACACCTGCAGGTTCCCTGAGGTTCTTACGTCCCCAAGGGGAGACCCTTCCCTCAACCACAGGCTGCACAGGACCAGCTTACTTGTGTCTGCCGTAAATCACCCTCTTCCCTAAGGTGCCTCAGCACCCAGATCTGGGGGGTGACTCTTCCCCACTGGCCTGGCCTTCCCTCCCCAGTCTCCTCTCCAAGTCTGCCTGGTGTGAGCCTGCCTATCTCCTCCGTGCAATTTGTCCACTCTCCTCCTTCTGGAAGTTACTCATTTCTCCTTATATCCCCTTGGCCCAGCAGTGCCTTTTAAAATTTATTTACTTATTTACTTTAAACCAGCATGTTGCTTTCAAGCCTTCGTGGAAGGAGACAAATACGTGTAAACCTTTTGTTGGACTGAACCTGTCCCCTTAGAACTTGAGCTTTTCTGGGGTAGAGCTCGAGCCCTGTGGGCCCCTGCCTGGAGACCACACCTCTCATTAGGCCTAGCACCAACATACTGGGCACCTAGGTTCCTGCCTTCTGATTGGCAGTTTGGTTACAATCACTTAACCCATGTCTAGCCATGCTGGATTAGTGGCCTAGTCCCGTACAAGCATGGGTTATTTATATTCTCAGCGCCCCTCCTGCTGACCTTGTGACCCACCAGCTCCCAGCCGAGACCAAGATCTGAGGGCCCGACCCCAGCACCCTCGGTGCCCCCTGAGCTTCTTGGTTCACATCACTGTAAGACCAAGAACGGAGAGGTAAAAAGGTAAAAAGGTAAAAAGTTCTCAGTGGCTCCCCTCCCAGCTTTACACCCAGCTTCGGCTCAGGGACAACTCCTGTTGCCTCCTTTAAAGTCAATCTGAGATCACAGCTCTGGCAAAGGCAAGGCCACAGGCCCGGGAGCTCCAGCGGGCAGCCTCAGCAGAAAGGTCTGCAGGGAACCGGGGCGAGGGAAGCCGATCTTCTCCCTGAGCAGCCGCCAGGTGCCACCTCCAATGGCATACAGTAGCGTGGACACGCGGTTGACAGTGTAGACAGTATCACCGCGCACCACGGCCGTGAAGAGCGCTCCCTTGCTGTTGACGAACTGGCCCGGCAGTGCAGTCCACTGGCCGGTGACCAAGTTGAGACAGTCGATGGCGCAGTGCAGAAAGTCGTCGCAAGGTCCATTGCGCACCACATAGAGGTTGTCGCGATGGGCCACCATGCAGTGGCCATAACTCTGCGGACGCCGCAGCTCAGCCACTGGCTGCCATGCGTCGGTCTGCGCCACGTACTCCATGATGGTCGTGGTGTCCGCGGGCCGCCACAGACACACGAAGAGGCGCCCGCGCGCCTGGGTGCAGGGCACACCTGCAGCAGGCTGCGGCAGATCGGCCACGAAGCTCCAGCAGCCCGCGGCTGGGTCGTAACGCTCCACGGAGCTCACGGGAGTCCTCTGGAACTCGCCCCCGATGGCATAGAGGCAGCCGTCGAAACCGGCCAGCGCCGGGTCATAGCGTGGCTGGTGCGGGCTGGGGAACTCGCACCATGTGCCGTCATCGGGGTCGTAGCAGAAGCCCAACTCCACCACCTCCTTACTGGCGCCACGCACGCCGCCCACGATGTACAGCTTGTTGCCCAGCGTGGCCACGCCCGCCAGCATCGTGCTGGCCTCCAGGGGCAGCGCGGCCAGCGTGCGCCACGCGTCCTCCTCCTCATCCAGGTAGCACATGGTGCGCGACGCATCCTCCAGGAAGCCGGGCGCGGGCGTGTGCGTGCTCAGAGCCACGTAGCAGCTGGGCCGCAGGGCGGCCACGTAAGCGCGGGCCTCGGGCAGCGCCAGGCCGGCAGCCAGCTCGCGGGCGCCGTCGCGGATGAAGAGCGCGGCGCTGTGGAACACATCGTGCAGGCCGAAGGCGGCGGCGGCGTCACACAGCAGCGTGCAGTTGTCCGATGTGAGGCTGTGCTCCAGGAAGCGCGCGAGCGCCGGCGCCTGCAGGAAGGCGGCGCACTCCACGGCCTGCAGCAGCTCGTCCTCCGCCGCCAGCGCCGGCCGCTGCCCTCGCAGCACCTGCAGCGCAGTGCGAAAGCCGTCGGCACTCAGCGCCCCCAAGCGCACCTCGGCGGCGCGCGCCTCCCGCATGCCCGAGCGGAAGAGGCCGCGGAAGAAGCCGCAGTGCTCCACCAGCAGGCCCTGCTCGGCCTGGAACAGCTGGCCGCCCACCCACACCTGCACTGGAACCTCAGGACCTTGCGGCATGCTGGGCCTCCAGGGCTGGGAGCAGTGGGCCACCGGCACTGGGGCTCCCCTGTGGCAGAACAACTTCCCCTGGGATATAAATACTTCCCTGGCTAAAGATAGTACGGCTCATGTGATGCAGTGGCCTGCAGGCTGCATGGCCGAGGGCCCGGAGGGCATCTGGAGACCTGCGGGGTCACTCAGGAGAACTAGTGACCCTAGTGACCGGATACTGGGCGCCTACTGCATGCTGGGCACTGCAGCACCGCTTGCACAGATAGCCTGGTTAACTCTCGCCCTGTGCCCTTCTGCAAAGCAAGGATCCTAACTTCCCGCTTTGCTTTCCTTATCTATAAAGGGACACATATTTCACAAGATGGGGCATATCTGCAAAGCATTCTGAACGAGGCTCAGTGTGGGCGGCTCATCCAGGGAGATTCAGAGAGAGGAAGCCAGGGAGCAGGATTAGTACACAACCCAGACCATCGGCTCCGAAGGGTGGGCCAGGCAGAAGTTGAGCAAAACGAGGGACTCAGGGCCAGGGTTCTAGGGCAGCCTGAGTTTCTGGCCCTGCTTCTGGGTGAGCTGGATGCTTTTATGAGCTCAGTACTGTTTGTCAAAGCATAGGAGTAGCATCCCTGCCTTGCAGGTGAATGACCAGTAAGCTACATGTGCAAATAATCCCTGATGAGATGGGAGTGAGCCGCTAACCTCTGTTGTCTATCTGCCAGGCCCCTTCCTTGCAGTGTGGCTCTACTCTGGACCCCACAAGAGGGAAAGTCAGGGGGGCGGAGGGGGGCGGGGAGGATGTGCCTGTGAGTGGGAAAAAGCATTCTGGAAATAATAACAGCTAATTTTTTTTTTTTTTTTTGGTATTACTGAGGATTGATGGGGATTGAATGCAGGGCCTTGGAATCCAAAGCTATCTCCCCAGCCTTTTATAGTTTTAAAATTTATTTTTATTGTTAGACAGGCTGTTATTAAGTCATTAACTTTGCTAGGTTGGGTTTGAACTTACAGTCCTCCTGCCTCGGCCTCCCGGAGAGCTCAGATTGCCCATGTGCCATAGGTTTGCACCATGACACACTAGCTCTGTTTCACAGACGAGGACACTAGGGACCGAGAGGTTTGGTCACATGGCCAGAGAGTGATAGACCTAGGACTGGAAGCAGCCAGTTTGAATCTAGAGCAGCAGTGTGAACATCTGTGGTACAGGTGCCCCAGCTGCTGACTGTTATCATTGAAAGCTCTAGAAGGTTCACCATCACTGGTCTAGAGTGTGTGCCCCTGGCCACTGTGCTCTGCTGCCTCCCTGTGCTATGGATGTTGGGCAGTTAGATGGAGCCTTGGACTTGTAGTCACTTACAGGGGGTGGAGGCGGTTGGTCGGAGGGAAAGACAGTGACCCAGGCCTCCTGCTGCTCAGCCCATGGCAGAATTTTCCTAGGTATTCTGCTAAGACTCTGGGTCCCCCAGTGTCAGGTGGGAGTTTATGAGGATGGTAACTGTCATTGTGAGAGGCGGGAGGAGGATGCACATACCTCATTCCTCCCCCCACCCCAGGACTCACTGCCACAGATGCTTGGTGAATCTGCAGACCCCACTCGAGTGGGGCCGGTATGGGGGGGCTACTTGTCTGAGCCTGGGAAGCTGCAGGCCTGTAGGAGGAGCCAGAAATATCTTCCACTTTCTGCCCCAGGGACCAGACAGGAAGAGGCAGCAGCAACGGAGGAGTGGGCAGGAGTCCCCACGAGGACTGTCCCAGGCCCTCTGCCAGCTTGTCATCTTCCCTGAGGCTGGGCACTGGCTGAAAGGCCTGGAGGTCCAGGCAGCAGGGATGACACCTTCTCTCGGGGACAAGTGCGGTGCTCTGTATTGGCTTAGCAGTGCCAGGTCCCGACTGTGTCCTTGCCAGAAGCTGTAGTGTTGGGGAGAGGCCTACCTGTCCCCAGCTCACAGAAGAAGAGGGGAGACTTGCGGATGGAAGGAGCTTTTCCAGGTTAGGAATGGGGACAAGACGGGGCAGAACTCTGGGCTCCGACCATTGGACCTGTCCCCAGCCAAACCATGCCATGCCTTGTCACCTGTGCTACTATTAGCAGCAGGCAGTGAGGCCCAGGTCCTGTGGGAGGGCAGGGGATGGGGGCCAGGGCCACAATTCTTGTCCAGATGGTTCATTCTAGTCACCTGGTTGCAACAGGAAGCAACCAGGAGTCATCACCAGACCAGTTCCTGCAGCAAGAGGATTGCGACCCCTCCCGGTGGAAGTCGGTGTCCGCCTGGCTGCAGGTGTCCCCGTGCCCAGCCTGAGCAGGTGAGTCTGGTGCAGGTGCCTGCTCTCTGCCGCACTGAGGTGAGGGGAAAGGGTCACCCAGTGGGGGAGGAGATCACCGAGTGAGCAGGGCTCTGGGGCTGGGGCGTGGTGAGGAGTAAGTAACCTTTGGCCCCATCCAGAGCCCCAGGGCTGCTGCCTGCTGCTGGGAGCCTTTCCTCCTCCCAGCCTCGGAGTGTCCCTCTGGGACTTGGAGAGGACTAGGCAGCATCCTGGCTGTGGTCGGCCCACGGAGTTCCCAGGCCCTGGCGACCCCGAGCTCCCTCCTTCTCCACTGTGCAGTCCCCACGCCGTGCGAGGAGGGGTGAGAGCCCAGGAAAAAAGCCCCGTCAGATCCTGAGCCTTCTTCCTACAGCACAGGCCCAGCCTTGTTCCTTCACAGGGGCAGGGCCGGCACGCAGCAGGGGTCTGTGGAGTGGGACCCCGGGCCTACCCTGGGGAGCTCCTGGTCAGATAGGGACTGACCCAAGGAACCCTCCAGTCCGATGGAGGAGATTGGTCCTGGCTCTGGAAGCCCCTGGAAGGGGAATGGGGAAGCCCCACCCAGAATGAAGTCTCTGCCCATGGGGTAATGAGTGGCTTGCACTGTCTGCACCTGGAGAAGGAAGAGTCCTGGAAGAGTCAGAATCCCTGCCAGGGCTCTGTGTGTATGCGTGCACATACCTGGAGATTGAACCCAGGGTCTATACCCTGAGATATTCTCCCAGCTCTTTAAAGTGTTTTGTTTTGTTCCAGTCCCTAAATTACACAGACTTGGCTGGAATTCGAAATCCTCCTGCCTCAGCCGCCCAAGAGTGCTGGGATTGTACTGTATGCCATGACACCCAGCTCTTGCCTGGCCTTTCACTTGGCTTGTAAAAGCTCCCCAGCCCCTCCATACTTCCATACTGCAGTTCTTGCATCTGGAAAGTGGAGTTTGGAGCTGACTTCTAGGATTCTGTCCAACTTTAACATATGAATTTATCATCAAACCAGCGCTGGAGTGGTTGCCCTGTCTCTAGGAAAGGCGGTGACATCGTGAAGGGCTTGGACAAGCTAAGCTTTCCTGGAGTGGCTCCCGGATGCACCTGGGACCTGGCATCAGGAGGGCCTCACAAAACTGCAGTTCACACAAGAGACAGATACCTGCTGCACACCCTGCCCTTCCTTACCGAGTAACAGCCTTGGTGGCCTGGGAGTGGAGAGCAGAATCCAGCTGCTGACCCTAACAGAATGACCTTTCTTCTGAGCCTAAGGCCCCAAACCTCTGCTCTAAGCTGCTGCCCACGGAGTTCTTGGTCCGTGGCAGAGAGCTGTGTGCTTTGGGTGCAGATGGAGCAGGGGGAATTCACTGCTGCTTCTTGGGGCCCTGAGCCAAGCTCGGTGTAGCACGGCCTTGTTCCTTAACTCTTCACAATCTTTTGCAGATGAGGAATTGAGGTGCAGAGTGTGTCCCCAGATCTCTGGTGACACTGATTCTCTCTTCCATGTCCCCACTGGGATGCAGTCTGTCTTCACTGGACACACACAGAACAGGCACAACCTTGGGGCTGGAACTTGGCTTCCACTTTCCCAACTCTTACAACTCAGAGGAAAACGCTGGGCCATTGGCTGTGTGAGCAGCTCTGACCTAGAGTGTGATGGAAACCAACTCCTTGGGGTACCTTAGAGTCTTAATAATGCAGCTGTTGTACTGTGATCACCCAAACAAAATTCCATACAAACACAATTCATGTCCAGTTCAGGAAGCCAGTTTTCCTTCTTGTGACCACCCTGTGCGGGCCCGGGCTGCCCTGGCTTCTCTTGTGGAAAGGAAATTGGCCATCTGAGGGACAGGGGACAAGGAACAGGGGTAGCGAGGCTCCTGTCCCCTTCTGGGCTCCAACTTGGAGTGTTTCCCAGAAGATGGGGCTGTCACTCTCTTAGGCCAGGGTTACATCATGGCATTTTAGATTGATTTCCCTTCACCTGTTGTTTTTAAAGTTGAGGAAATGAGGGGACTCACCCAAGGTCACCCAGGGGAAGGCGCACACACTAGATCCAAAGGGCCTGTGCTCTCGGTGAGCCCCCTCTCGGTCTCCAGCACCATTTACACAGCAGCCTGCTGCCTTGCAGCTCATTAGGGCCCATCGGGAGAAACAGTAACCCGGGTGAATTAGGTGTCTGAAAGCTGAACCCGTATTGGCCACGAAGCCTTGGCAGGGACGCTCTTCTCCCCTGTTCGCAGCAGCCTGGCTTTTGCAGTGATGCCAGAGCCCCTACACCCAAGGGCCAGACTCGGGTGTAGAGGGCCAAGGGTGTGAGCTAAAAGCTCCAGACAGCAGGGTCGAGCTGGGCGTCTTCCCGGAGGAGGAGGAAGGGCAGGTGGGTGGTGGGACAAAGGAAGGGGTGAGTTTTCCCGCTGCTGGGAAAAGACCGAAGGAAAGGCTGGAAACAACTGGGGTCGCCCTGCCTGAAGTCCTTGGCGGACGCCGGAACCCCCTGTCTGCGCCGGGGCGGGATGAGCCCTTAAAAGGAGCTCGCGGGCTCGGCCCCGCCCCGCCCCGCCCCGCCCCGCCCCGCGGCGGGAACGCAGCGCGAGGCTCGGACCTACTCGGGTCCGCGCGGGGCGCGGGGCGCGGGGCGCGGACACCGACGGGCACGCAGCTGGGGCGCTCGGTGTGACCCCGGGGCGCTCTCCGCGGTCGCCATGGCCTCGGTGTTCGGAAAGCCCCGCGCCGGCAGCGGGCCTCCGAGCGCACCCCTGGAGGTCAACCTGGCCATCCTGGGGCGCCGCGGGGCGGGCAAGTCCGGTGAGTGGGACGGGGAGCTGTGGTTTTGGGGCTCGGGGTCCTCCGCTGGCTTTGAAGGCTTCCATGCACAGCCAGACCCGATGAGCCTCTGTGATTTTTCTTCTTTGCCTCAGTTTCTCCATTGCTGGTGTTCTCAGCTCTTCCGCACTTGCGCGCAGCCCCTCGGCCTGGTTCTGCGCCTCGGCTCCTGGCTGCCTCTTCCCTCTGTCTCTGTCTTGCGTGGCTGTGACTGTTACTGTGTCCGCTCCTACCCTGCACCCTCTCTCTTTGGGTCTGCAAGTCCCCGCCCTGCTCCCATCTCCTCTCCCCGGCGGTGGAGGGGCCAGCCTGCCAGGGAGACTGGCCCTGAACCGGCCTGTTGGGCACTGATCTTTGAACTTGGTCACAGCCTCGCAAGTCCTTCAAAGGAATAGGTAGAAGTACCTGGCCCTGGTGATTTCTCAGGCAAGGGTCCGTCCCGTCTCCCCCCACCCCCCCATCCCGGTTCCACATGGGATCCCAGAGCCTTCACACTGAGCTACACTCCCAACTCTTTTTGTTTTTAAATTTTGAGACAGGGTCTTGCTAAGTTATGAAGTTGCCTCAGCTTAGCTTGGACCTGCAATCCTCCTGCCTCAGCCTCCCAGAATGTTGGGACTACATGTGTGCATGTCCGGGGCTGTCTCTGGGCCACACTTGTCTCTGAGACTTGTCTTTGATGAACCAAGACCTTGGGCTTCCACTGAGATCATTTCTGCCAGTGCTGAACTGAGCCTTCACCACTCTTGGCAGCTGTCACTGTAGGCAAAGACCCTAGAGAGAGGTTGGCCTTTTCCTGCCGTGACAGTCGCAGGCAGCTGCATGTGAGGAGACATAGGGAACCCCTCTACTGGCTCTTTGTCCAGTTATGGCTATCAGTGAGTGTCACCCTCTGCTCTGTGAGCTGTGGGCTCCCTTCCCCAGTGTCTCCAAGACTCACAGGGAGAATAGGGTTGCTTCGATTTTCAAGCTGCCCTTCTGTCTGGGAAGGGTCCTGGGATCTGGTTTTCCTTCAGAAAAGATTCGTCCTTGTCCCTTTGAAAATTAGCTTGCTGTTTGTAGCTCAGCAGCTGGTCCGAGGGACTCCATGAATCAAGGAATTTAAACTTCAGAATCTATTCCCTCGGCGGCGTGTGTTGGCAGACTGACCCTGTGGGGAGTCCTAAGAAAGAACCAAAAGGCTCTTTGGACTTTGTAACAGGCCAGCGGCAGGGCTGGCTGACCCTAACCTTCATGTGGCTGAACTCCAGACAATCAGAGTCCCCTCATTGCCCTCTGCCTGCGAGAGCTTCGTCCTGGGGCTCCGTGTCTTGCTGGGATGTCCAGCAGGGATGAGGGCCCTCGGAGAGCTGACCCGTGAGCTCCAGGACCTGGGTTGCAGTTGCTAGGACCAAGCTCTCGGGCCTCAGACCTCCATGGCCCGCACCCCAGCTCTGCTCTCAAGGGCTCTTTGGGTTGTAGCCAAAACTGGAATGTATGTCCCATACTTTGGAAGCTGTGTGATGTGACTTGTCCAAGATGAGGACATGTGCCTTCGGTTGGGGTCTCACTGGGCTGGCCCGAATAACTGGTTCACAAGTCTTGGCCACTGCTTTTGGGTCTCTGTCAACACCCCCTTAGCCTGACCTCTCCCTGCCTTCTTGCTATTAAAAAAATCCTGGGATGCAACTAGCTGGGGCTCGACCCCTGTATTTCTGGTTCCTTTTGAGCCACACACAACGGTGGAGACTGAGACCCTCTTTCTGCTTCCTGCAGCCCTGACTGTGAAGTTCCTGACCAAGAGGTTTATCAGCGAATATGACCCCAACTTGGGTAAGAAGCCACTGGTTCCTAGATCTCCCACACCCTGCCTGTGCCCCACCTGGAGTGCTTCTGGGGGCTGGCATCTGGGGACAGAAGTAGGCATCACCAGGATCACTTGGCCAGTGGGAAAGTTTTGTTTGTTTTTTGTCTTTTTTCCTGGCACTTGGGGGTTCTCATTGCACTACATCCCTGGCCCCCTTTTTTTTTTTTTTTTTTTTTTTTTTTTTAATTTTGAGGCAGGGTCATGCTAACTTCTTAAGTTGCCCAGGCTAGACTTGAACTTGTGATACTCCTGCCTCAGCCTCCCAGAGTGCTGGGGTTACATGGATGCCTCTCCCATCTCCCCATCCCCAGCTCGTGGAAAAAATGTTTTAAGTGTCACAGATCCCCCTTCCATGGCCCATTCCAGGCGACCTGGAGGTCGGCCCAACTCCGAGAACTGAGAACGATTGATTTGCCCCAAAATATGAGGTGTGGTGAAACTTTTAAAAAATGAAAATAAAAAGTTCCAAACACCGCAGATATCCACATCCAAATAAGTGGTGTTCTTCTAGATGATCACTCAGTGTTCTTTTCCAGAAAAGCTGGGCAAGAAAGACATTTGGGAAATGTGCTGGGGGTGGGGTGGCTTCTGACTCTTTTGAACCACATGAGAAGACTCGTCATGCCTTTTGTTGATTTTGTAGTCAACAACACAGACCCAGGTGGACCCAGAGCCTTGCACATTTGAGGCAAGCTTTCTGCACTGAGCTATACCCCTAGACCTTTTTAAATTTTATTTTGACACATCTCACTAAGTTGCCCGGGCTGACCTCAAATTTGCTGTCCTCCTGCCTTAGCCTCCTGAGTGACCAAGATTAAAGGCGTGTACAACTTCAACCCATTTGTCTAGCTGTTTAGTCATGTTATAGTGTACCGGTCAGATCTGGGTTCAAATCCTTGCTTTGCCAGTTACTGGCTGTGCAGCCTTGAGAGAGTTGCTTTTGTTTCTCCACCTGTAAAACAGGAATGCAAACACCTATCTCAGAGAATGACTGTGAGGAGTTAGGAGGTAACACAGGCGGAAGATCCAGCCTCCTACTTGATTCACGATCGTCTTCACTGCGGGCTCACCAAGGCCTTGTGAAGATTCCCTCAGATTAATCAGATTACTGCTTTTGAAAACATTTTCAGCTGCAGGATCTTTTCCTAAAATAACTTCTCACAGGGAACCTTAATACTTAAATAGAAGCAGAATTTTGCTAGTTCCAGTCTCATTTACATCTCACATTTATAACTTTTTGTTTGCTTGGTTCTTTTATTTTTGTTTTTGAGACAGGCTTTCACTATGTAGTCCAGACTGGCCTTGGATTCATGATCCTCCTGCCTCAGCCTCCTGAGAAGGGAATTTGGTGTGCTCTACCAGGTTATTGCTCCAGCAGTAACATGTTTTGTAAACAACCTCCTGGGACCAATAGGGTATCTGAATGATGATAGGTTTGAAAATGGGCATTGGGTTAATTCCCCATTGGGAAAAACTGAGTGAAGGATGGGTAGGAAATCTGCAGAGAGACCCAGGGCTCGGTGACACAGGCTGGGCACCCTAATGGTGCACCAAGCCCCTGTGACAGCCACTAGGATGCCCAAGGGAAGAGCTGAGTCTGCCGGTGCCACTAGCTCCTCTGGTCAGGTCAGCAAGCCTGCTGAGTCCTGGTGCTGGAGCAGGGGACCCTCGGGGGACATTCTTCCCATTTTTTCATAAATGAAATGATCCCTTCCTCCAGAGAGACCTTAACAGGACCCCAGGGTGTCCAAGAGAATTTGGTTAAGCCAGGAGATTGTAGGACAGCTGATGTGGTGACCATCCCCAGGGACTGCGATCAGCAGAGGTCATCTCCTGAGGAAGAAGGACACGGATGCAAGTGTCCTGCTGACCTGAACAGGGCTCAGGAGGGGACAGAGCTAGAGTAACAGAGGATAGGGGAGGTGGAGGCCTGGAAGGAAGGTCGCACAGGCAGTCGTCAGGTGTCTGCCAGGGGACAAGGCGGATTCCCAAGGACATTCTTCCCTGTACAAATAGTATGTTGGGGTGCTTGTACTAAATACTACTACTGACGCATCCAAAATTCAGACCTCACTGCGCATCCCAGCTCTTTCCTGGCAACCCCTAGTCCATACCTTGTCTCGGGGTCCCCGGGTGAGCCTGTTCTGGGGAGGTTTGTGCTTCTGGGTTGAGTAACTCTGGGGTTCTGACCTGGTGGTGGAATGCATGGTCAGACTGCGGGGGAGAGGGGAGCAGCAGCCCTGCTTATTCACCGCCCTGAGCTGCAGAGACTTTTGGGGCCCAGTGGCATTGCCGGGGTTCTGTCCCATCGCTGGGAACTGCCTCCACTTGCTGGTTCCTGGCCCCCTCTTGGTTCCAGCAGCAGTCGGGACTCTAAGACCCAAGTCTGTCTCTCTGTGGAGAGAGCTTGGCAGAGTCTCAGACAGATCTTGGCAGACAGCTCTTTTGCCTTTGCCAGGGTTCCCCGAGACCTGGGTGCATTTGGGGGCCCCCTGAGGTGGCACCTCGAGCTTAGTTCCAGCAGGGGCCACAGCACAAGGCACAACACAGCCTCTTCATGGGGCCACTGAGTTCCGGTTTTAGGGTTAGCAGAGCTTCTATTATTGTCACCCATTTTACAGGCAGAGAAATAGAGGACTCAGTGATTTGCCTAAGATCAGAGAGGCTTGGGCACAAAGGAAGACAAAGAACTACTCTATTTGCGTTCACCAGGGGCAACCTATGTTATCGGGGGCCAGTGTCAGAGATCCATGTAGCACTGGGTTCTCTGAGCCTCAGTTTCCCCATCTGGAAGATGGAACTAACAGCCTGAGCGCTGTTGGTTTCAGCCCTGTGCTGGGCTGTGGGCTGTGACTATCAGAGCTGATAGGAGTGGTGAGATTGGTGCTGGTGAACGGCTTTGCTGTGTCCCCTCCTGGGGTCCCCAGGTGCTGGTGTCACCATCTCTTGTCTTCTGTCTGCTCCAAACTCTGACCAGAACTTTTTTGGGTGCCTTTTTAAAAAATGATTGTTGCTGTAAATGACAGAAAAATACTTTGGAACGAGGCTCTTTTCTCAACCTTAAAGTGCATGAACTCTCAGAGCTGGGAGTTACATAGTGCCATATTTCAGGACCCAAGTGCCCTGTGCCAGGGAGGACTGGGTACTTCTCGTGCTCCCGTGCCCTCTGCACAGAGCCAGGGCCCGGCTGACCCACCAAGAGGCTGGGGTGTGAGGGGTCCGGGTGGGGAGCAGGTCCCCTGTTTGTGTCCTTTCTACCAATAGGGTGCCATGTGGCATGGCCAAGTGAGAGACCAGTGGCTGGGGACCAAGGCTGGGCTGGACAGGACTTCGTGCCTGCTGGAGGGACCAAAAGAGGTGCCCCAGACAGCATCAACAGGAAAATAAAGACGAATCTGAACACGACATCGGCATCTAGGGACAGTTCTTCTTGGGCCAAATATAGTTAAACATTGGGGCATGTTTTCCATTTGATTTTTTTTTTTTTTTGTCTTTGCATAAAAGCATCTATTTATCCAAGTCCCTGGAGCAGGCTGGGGCTGAGGTGCTGTCTGAGATTCATGCTGGATGCAATGGCCCCTGGCATGTGTCCAGGGTGGCTGGGCTGTATCTTCAGCCAGGGTGGGGGTGGCGTCTCACAGGCTGCTGCCGGGGAGCCGAGAGCATCTCAGTTCTGCCAAGCAGGGGTAAGATACCTCGGGAGACCCCCAGGGAAGGGTGTGTAGCGTGCTACAGTCACGGGGAAGATTGGGGGTGGGGACACTCATTGCAGATGTGGCATCAATGTCCCATCTGCATGCCTGCCCGCTGACCTCTAGCTGATTTCTGGTTTGAGGTCATAAGAAATGGAAAAAATAATACTCAAAAACTTGTGAAATCCAAATGAGGTCAACAGTTTGGTTCATGGTAGAGTACCAGGGTCGATGTCTGGGTTTGGTAATCATGCCAGGGTTATGTAAGGTATTAGTATTGAGAGCAGTTTAGGGAAATGTGCACAAGAATGCTGTGCTCTTTAGCAACTGGAGAGTCTGAAATTATTTCAGAAGAAAATAAAAGGTCAGCTAGGTATGGGAGCCTGTCCTGTCCACTTCGGCGTGCCCCAGCCCCCTGCCCTTTGCAGGTGGTGTCAGGCCCTGTGCCCATCCAGGCCCTGCACAGCCCTGGCAGATGGGCTGTTAAAGTGCAGGCTAGGAGCAAGCACTTACCACAGCATTCAGCGCAGAGGAAAGGCTTGGGGACCGATGGCCACCGTCACCACCTCACTCCCATTTAGGGGTGATTGCAGATTCCCCCTGAGCGCTGAGCTGACTTGGTCCAAGCACACAGCTCAGAAATGGCTAACGTTGGCTTTGGTTCCACATCTGGGGCTTAAAACTCGTCACACGGTTGAGGATTATTTGTAAAACCCTCTTAGAGTTTTTCTTTGGGGTCCGACCACCCTCCGTCCAAGATGTCATGTGCTTCTCTTTTCCCTTGTCTCTGCCCCCCCCCCTGGATGGGTGGTGTCCTTGGAGGGTCTCCCATGGACCAGGTCCTGGTGTCAGAAGGACTTGGGTTTGGGGAGGAAGGGTGGTGGGCTGTGCCACTCCTGAGTCTGCAGTGAGCCAGGTCACTGGCCACTGGCCTGCCCTACAGGGATTTATGCTGTGGCCTGTGATGCTCTGAGCCCTGCAGCACAGCAGCCCCTCCTCGGTGAGAGTCCTCCTGCATCCGCCTCCGCTGGCCCCAGAGCAGCACCCAGGGGCCCTCCAGTTGGCACGGGGGTCCAGTTGTGACTCAGTCGCAGCTTCCTGTCTAGTAGCCTGCCCTGCCCAACCTGTCTGTCTGTGTTGCAGAGGACACCTACAGCTCCGAGGAGACGGTGGACCACCAGCCCATCCACCTGAGGGTCATGGACACTGCAGACCCGGTAACCTCCCCACTGCCCCTTGGAGGGCAGGGAGTTTGGGTCCCTTTAAAAGTGCAACTTGCTGTGTGGTCTGAAATGAGACACTGACTTCCCTGAGCCCAAATCTTCCATCTGCCAAATGAGGAGGATGGGAAGGGGGCTGGGGAGTTACCCGTGGCAGGTCTTGGACCCTGTGCAGTCAGACAGGTGCATGCCTGTCCACACAGATGCTTCTGTGAGAGCCCCTTGGCCATCTCCCCCTCATCCTCCCTCTTGGCTTCTGAACTTGACCCAAAACCAGCAGTGCCCAGAGACAACAGGTCCCTGGAGGGGCTGTGCCATGTCCTTGGCATTGTGCCCAAGCAGCCAAGGGCTCCAAGTCTCTGGCTGGCTGGCTGGCTGGGGCAGGGCAGTGGGTGGGTCATGAGACAATGTCTCCTTTCACACCAAGCCAAGTCTGTGGTCAAGTGTGCCTTTGGAAAGGGCTCGGGTGGGGAACAATACAGAGACCCGGCCTGGACAAGTGGGGGTGACTGCTCAGGTGAAGGTTTTTATCCCATGGCCTGTGACCTGGAGGGCTTCTCCCCACACTGCAGGACATCCCCAGGAACTGCGAGCGCTACCTGAACTGGGCCCATGCCTTCCTGGTGGTGTACAGCGTAGACAGCCGCCAGAGCTTTGAGGGCAGCAGCAGCTACCTGGAGCTGCTCGCCCTGCACGCCAAGGAGACGCAGCGCTGCTACCCGGCCCTGCTGCTGGGCAACAAACTGGACATGGCCCAGTACAGGTGAGCGCAGTGGTGCCCATGGGTTAGGGAGCTGCCTGGAGGACGTTGCACCTAGGTAAAGGCATTGAGAGCAGAAAGGGCCTTGGGCTTCCCAGCAGCCAGAGACCAGCAGGGCAGGGCTGGACCCTGAATATCAGAACAGCAGCCACTCCTTCCATCCTCGTGGGTTTCTGGTTTCTCCTGGCCTCGCCCTTTCTTGCCCAAGCCACTGTGACCTCCGTCCCATCTCAGCAGCTGAACAGTTGATTCCATGCCCGTTCCATTCTAAGGCTAGGCTTCCAGAGGCCCTTGGGTCAGGGGGGTCACTCTGGTCCAGCCAGCTCTGTCTCCACCCCAGTGCAGCTCCCCAGGCTGTGCCGAGGGCAGCTCTTAGATGCTGGACCTGAGCCAGAGGTCAGGACCAGGCCACAAGGTGGATGACCGCAGAGTCTGCAGCCGTGTGTTGCTTGGCCAGCATGGTGTTCGACAAGACAGGAACTGGAATGTTTTGAGGTAGGGCCCACTCCTCCCTGTGACCACAGCCTGGCTGAGCACAGCCTCGCTGTTCCCCGAGGTTTCCCTCCAACTTCTCCTGGCCCTGAGGCAGCTGAGACTGTGATGCCACATTCGATGGATGAGTAATCCTCCTGGACTCTCCCTGGAAGCCATGTCCTGTCCCCCTGCCGTCCCTTTCAGGCCCCTTGCCCCTGCTTTCCCAGGCCCTGAAGCTCCAGTGACTGGTGTTAGCAGAAGAGGGGACCTTTGGTCTAGGACAGGCTGGGTGGGCAGTGGGAGAAGGGAGTCGTGGTTTCCCAAAGCAGGCCACAGTCAGGGCCCAGGAGAATGACATCTTGAAGCAAGGAAAGAGTGTGTGGCATTAAAGTGACTGCAGGGTCTGAGGAATCCCAGGGCCTGTGAGAGGGCGTTGGAATACCAGGCTTCAAATAGGCCTGTTTTCAGCAGGGAGACATAACCAACAGGTCCCTGTTCACTGCCAAAGGGGTGGTCTCAGAATGGTTTGGGAGCAACTGACCGAGAATATCAGGCTGGAGTGAGGCAGTGTCATTGGGTCCCCAGGGATGAGTCAGGACGCTTCCCCCTCTCTCTTGGGTCTTGTCCCAGTCTTCGTGACTCAGGACTCGCACTGGATGTTTTAGCTGCCCTGAAATCAGCGTCCTTCCCCACACCCGCCCCATGAGTGTCTTGCAAGCTACAAGGTGGGAATGGTGTTAGAGCAGCGATGCCCGCGCCCTGAGAAGCTCACCAGGCCACAGCAGAGCAGGATAAAGGACAGAGTTCAGGGTGAAGCTCGTGACAAAGGCAGCGTTCCCGTAAGGCAGAGTCCCCGCGCTGGGTGGCTTCCTCGGGCAGCAGCGGCAGGTGCAAACTGCCCGTGCACAGCCCTGGGGTGTGTCTCTGCGGCAGGGGGTTAGATGCTCTGCCCCTGCCTCTTGGATCCCCGTCACCTCCTCCCTCTGTTGCTCCCGTCACTGGGGAGCAGGGCCTGCACCCCTCAAGGCCCACCCTGGGGTCTTCTGTCATCTCCTGGGCTGGGCCATTGTCCCTAGGAATGGTGGGTGGGGCAGCCCAGCAGCTTTGGCTTTGGCCTCCAGACTTCTTCCCTCTCAAGAGCCCGTGTGCTCTTTCCCCTACTTCCATTCCATGGCATTCGGGCCAGAAACTTCCAGAACCTTCCCAACCTCAGATGTTCCTTCCGGTCATCATAAGAAGTGGGCCAGGACCAGGCAGGAAGAGATGTTGCCCCTTCTCTTTGTGTCCCCAGCTCATGTGAAATGTCATCACCCCTGCTCTCCCTGGCTGTCCCCTGGGCAGGAAGACAGCTGTCCCTTTGAGTCCCAAAAGCTCTGCCTGCCGCAGGCTTCCTGAGTCACCTGTGTGGTCCCTTCAGCTGCCTTTCTCAGGCCAGGACCACCACAGGGGCTCATTCCTGCCTGAGGGGCCAGTGCTGTGATGGAGCAAGGAGGCTGGGATGGGGTACCTCCAGCCACAAGCAGGTCTATCCGGGGTTCCGCCTCCTTCCTCAGTGTGTCATCTACAACATATTGAGCCCTGACCTGAAACAGGTACTGCGCTAAGCACTCAGTGCCACTCGTGTTTCTTAGTTCTGACAACTCCGAGAGGCTGATGTCACAATCCCATGATGCTGGTGTGAAAATGAGCTGGAGAAAGGTGAGGAGCTTCGGCCCCTCTGACTGGCCACCTTGCCTGCCCCTCCCTCCCTCCCGCAGGCAGGTGACCAAGGCCGAGGGAGCAGCCCTGGCCGGCAGGTTCGGCTGCCTCTTCTTCGAGGTCTCCGCCTGCCTGGACTTCGAGCATGTGCAGCACGTGTTCCATGAGGCGGTGCGGGAAGCGCGGCGGGAGCTGGAGCGGAGCCCCCCGGCCCGGCCCCTCTTCATCGCTGAGGACAGGGCTCCCGTGCACCAGGTGCCGCTCACGGCCCGGCACGGGCTGGCCGGCTGCACTTTCAACACGCTGTCCACCTTCAGCCTGAAGGAGATGCCCGCCGTGGCTCAGGCCAAGCTGGTCACAGTGAAGTCATCGCGTGCCCAGAGCAAGCGCAAGGCGACCACCCTCACCCTCCTAAAGGGCTTCAAGATCTTCTGAGGCCCATGCCCCTCCTCGGCAGCCCCGGCAGCAGGACAGGGGCTGGCTTGTGATGCCGGCCTTTCTCACCGATGGACTGCTGGCCCCGCCCACTGATGGACAGCTGAACCTGCCTCTGGCACCAAGCAGAGTCCCCACATTGAGCCTAAGGCACTGGGTGGGCTGCTGCTGCTTGGTCTCTATGGTGTCCTTTGCACCTAGGACCCTGGAGGGAAACGGCCATTGCCACAGCCCAGAGACCTGCCATAGCAGGAAGAAACTGTGTCCATTCTGCTGCCGTAACTCTAGCCCGGCTAGCTGTGTCCCATGGTAGACGGACAGTTCCCAGAGGCCCCAGGAGGGGCGGCCTAGGGGTCGTGGTGCCACCTGGTGGGAGGCAGAGGCAGCGCAACTGCTTAGAAGTAGGAGCCTGACCCTGCTATCCTCTTCTGACCTCACAGGATACGCGGGTAGTGACCCCAGTTTATTCAAGGAAGATCTGCTTAAGATAATTCTGCGGGGCCGCTGCACAGGCAGGGGCTCCGGGTCGGGTATTCCCAGCGCTTCCCCTTTCAGGGAGGGGAGAAGAGAACCTCCAGTGGGCTTTCATCAGGATTCAGGGTCTTCTTCCCCACTTTGCTAAGGACTGTGTGCACACCCTCAGGACCAGGTCCTCAAGTCTAATGACCAAGGCTGCAGAACACAGTGTCCTCTCTGGTTTCAGGAGAGCCCACAGAAGGCAGGGTCGCATGCCACCTGGCAGCCACCAATGCCGGCTCAGACAGGAACGGTGTAAAGCTTGTAACAGGGTTTGGCCGGACATGTGACCTTCAGCAACAGATCTGAGCTTTCAAAGCCCAGTTTTTTTTTCTTCTAGCACTGGGGATTGAACCCCGGGCCTTCACACTGAACTATATCATCAGCTATTTTATTTTATTTTGGGAAACTAAGTTGTCTAGGCTGGGCTGAAAACCTGGGATGCTCCTGCCTCATCCTCCCAGAGAACTGAAATTACAGGTGTGTGCCACTGCGCCCAAGCCAAAGTCCACTTTGGTGAGACAGAACCTGAAGTATGTCGGGCTAATAGAGCAAAGTTTTGCATAGATTCTATGGTGTCCCCCTTAACAGCTTATGCCACAACATCATGGCTCAGATGGAGCCGCAGGTTCCTCCCTGCGGTTCCCAGTGTTAGCCAGAGGAAGCTTCAGAGGCAGTTGTCTTCCAGCTCTGTTTACCATGAGCAGGTACAGGAGGAGCCTCTGGCTTCCTGAAGGGCTGGGAAGGGGATTCTGACTCCAGAATCCTGCTTCCTTCCATGTCAGTGCCCCATTCCAGGAGCTTGGACTCAAAATCCCCCTAACCCAGCCTTCAACCCATTCTATGGAGGGAGAAGCTGAGGCCAGAGGAAGGCTGTGAACCATTCCAGGCCACCCGCGGAGGGTCCCTGCCAGGCTTCCCGAGCCCTAGGCTGCTAGGGGTTTTGCACTTTTCTTCAAGCCACTTGTGTGTTTGTGTATATGTGCGTGTGTATCACAGCCACTTGAACAGTCTGTGCACTTCCCACTGCCCACTACCAGAAGCATTTTTAATAAAAGATTTTTTTAACTATCAGGAGCACTGTTTGACTGCAGTTCATTGTATCTGCTGATAAAAGCAGGCTGCTGGGGGAGGAAGCCCTGACGTCTGGCTGTGGGGAGCCCCGTCTCCGTCTCCGGCAGTGTTGTGTGGGCCGCGCCTGCTCTAGCTCTCAGTTTCTTGCTCCTTTAATTCAGTCCACAGCGGGACCAGGGCTGGCTTTTCTGTGAGCAGTATCTCTCCTAGGTTGTTTAGGCTGTTGTTGTTGCCACTGGTTCTGGCCTCCTTTAGATGCAGGAGCGCAGGTGTTTCTTTGTCTTGTGGCTGCAGCTTTCGGTTTCTGGGAGGATGGAGGAGGAAATGTGGTGTAAAACGCCCAAAGCAGCCATCAGGCCTGACGATGTAGGCCTGTCATCCCTGCACACTGGGAGGTTGAGGCAGGAGGATCACAAGTTCAAGGCCAGCCTGGGCAGCTTAGCAAGACCTCATCTCAGAATAAGAACTAAAATAAAACTGATGTAGCTCACAGCAAAGGCCGTAGGTTAAATGCTTAGTATTCTCTGTCTCATGTCCAGCTGGAAGGCCTGTGTTCCTTGTCCCGACCATACTGGGCCTGGCCTAGGGGCGGTCATCCTATGATGGACACCGACTCTGTCTCTGCACTCACAGCTCTGCTGCAGCCTCCCCTCACTGGCCACGCGTGTGGGTGCCCGCCCTCCAGCCGTCCGTCCTCTCAGTTGTTTTTCCTCATGATGCTCTGGCTTTCCTGGAAGGTGCAGGGCTGCCTGAGGAGTGAGGCAAAGCTGCCCTCTGCTTTTCTTTTTTCATTCCCCGTAGTGGTGGTGGAACTCTGGCCCTTCCCACTAAGCTATGCCCAACCATTTTTATTTTTTGAGACATGTCTCTCTAAGTTGCTCAGGCTGGGCTCAAATTTGTGGTCCTCTCGCCTCAGTCTCTCAGAATGCTGGGATTACAGGCAAAGGCCATCACTTGAGAGTCAGCCAGCTTTTTTTTTTTTGTACTGGGAATCAAACTCACAACCCTGCGCTTGCCAGGCAGGCACTTGTGCCACTGAGCTAAATCCCCAGCCCAGAGGCAGCTTCTCAATGGCTGCACTCCTCCGGATCGTACCTGCAAGAGCTGGGAGGTGGTCGTCAGGGACAGCTGCTGTTTTTAAAAGAGCTTTGGGTTCTCAAAGGAGCTGGAAGGCTCCATTTGCTGTCCCAAAGGCCATTGCCCTCCCTAGATGTCCCTCCAGGCAGGTAGGGCCACTCCCCTCCAGAGACCCCCAGAACAGCCCCTCACCTGTTGGCCTGGACATTCCTGACCAGGAGGAACAAGCTGAAGGCGACCACCACGGCTGTCAGCGCAAGGATGGAGTAATTCCAAGCAGCCGCTGAAGAGGGACACACAGGGCAGGCTGTTGAGGACAGGACTGGCACCCCTCTAGCCCCCCAAGAATCAGCCAAGACTGGGTTCAGATCCAGCCCACGGCAGGGGCTGTACCCTGCCGAGCAGAGAAGCTCTGAGCTCTGGCTCTGGGGACTTTTGAGAAGGGAGATGCGGTCTGCTTTGGGGGAGGCAGCGCTGTAGCTGGATAACAGGGTGAGAGGGCGAGGGGCCGAGATGACTTTTGCAGTCTTCAGTTTGATCCTGTGCAGCGCAAGGAAGAGGAAGAAGGGAGGGCGGGGAAGCAGGGGTGGCAGACGGGATCCAGGAGCTGTGAGCAGCTAAATTAAGAAAAAGAGGCTGATTGGACTGTAGGGTCCCCACGAGGCAGGCTGCAGCCTCTGGGCTTTGCAGTGGCTCCTCCCTTTGCTGGGAACGTTCTCCCCACATCTGCAAGACTGAGTCTTTATTAGAAGGTCCCCTTCTCAGTGGGCCCTCCCATGACTTCTCCTGCTGCACTCGACTGGTTTCTTCTCTGTGTGATCTTACAGCATGTCATCTCTGCTCTGTGCATGTTCATCATTTACTTTATTTTCTGTCCCACCAGAACAGCACCCCTCAAGGAGATGATGTTTGTATTTTTCCCACTGTTGTAACCATCAAGTGCTGGAACAACACACAGTAGGAGCTTGCTCAGTGCAGATGACTGGGTGACCCGGTGAGTGGCCACTGCCCATACCAGGGGGTGGGGTGGGGTAGGGGGTACAGTACAGCTCAGGCCCGAGGTGCGGCAAATGTGCCATTTGACTGGGGTCTGGAGACCCCACCTGGGTTTCAGCCAAATCCTGCTTTGTGCTGAGTGCCCCCCCACCGGATGCCACCCCACCTCTGCCACCTGTCCCTCACCACTCACCATCTTCTACACGGAAAAACCAAATCATTTCCTCCAGCAGCCCCTGGGGTACTGTGGGGCCAGCTGGGGTTCCCGTGGCCTCCTCGCTCGCATCCATGGCCCTGGTCCTTAGCTGCTTCACTAGCTTCCTAGGTGCCGAGTCCTGAGCAGATGAGTCCTGAAGACCCTGGAAACAAAGCAGAGAGCATCACTGGACACTGCAGCCCAGTCTGATCTCCCCTCTGGGCCCAAAGCCAGCTTGCCAAGGTCTCCACACCAAAACATGCTGAACACAGGCGCAGGCAGGAACCTACAGGTGGCAGTGACTGAAATCCCTATGAAAACCCAGCATGGCACGCGTGAGAAGGGGTTTTGAGCTGGGAGTGAAGAGGATGGAGCCAGTGGTGGGCCATGAGACTCTTAGAGAGGACATTCTACGACCCCAACCTCTTGGGGCTAGCCAATCGAGGTAGCCAATCGAGGGCTTTTACTCGAGCACGTGACAAGGCTGGGCCTATCACAGGCTCCGGTTTGGTGATTTGCACACCTGAGACCCAGACTGGAAAGAGAAGGAGGAGCCAAAGGAAGCAGTTGTGCCTGGGCCGGAGGTGCTGCACAGATGAGCAGAGTTGGTTTCTGTTGTTTGGAAGGGAAGGACCCTATCCCATGCTCTTTGGCTAAATTTCTTAATTTGAACCTGTTTGCATTGGTGCAAAATAAAGTAGGTTGCATTGTGTTGACCAGACCTCAGACAGTCTCAAAAAGGCCTCAAAATTTGTGCTACCTTTCTATTACTACTTAACTAAAAATTCCTCACATGGGCCAGGGATTTAGCTCAGTGGCTTAAGTGCCTGCCTGGCAGGTGCGAAGGTGTGAGGTTGCTAGTTCAATCCCTGGTACAAAAAAAAAAAAAAGATTAAAAATTCCTCGTATCCATATATAAAGAAATGGTAGCTGGCTCATGCGTGTAATCCCAGCACTTGGGAGGCAGAGGCAGGAGGAGCACCACAAGTCCCTTGAAGAATAAAAGACAAAATAAAGATAGAAACAGAAATCAATGAGGTGCAGGGGGAAAGTAGAGAAGATGAACAAACCCAGAAGCTAGGGTTTGGTTTGGTTTTGCCACACTGGAGGTTGGATCCAAGGTCTTCTTCACTCTGAGCCCTGGCCCCAGCTCTTTTTATTTTGAGACAGGATCTCAAAAAGTTGCTAAATTGTCAGTCGTCTCCATATCAATGACAGTTGCTGCAATCCCAATCAAAATGGATTTTTTTGAGACCCTTGATGCGTGTATTCTAAGTATCAGCCTTGTTAGGTAAGACACTAGCTGCACAAATGCAGTTTCGGAACACAGGACGTACTTTTGATACAAGACTCCTAGAGAGAAGGACCAGAGTTGAAATTCGAACCTTTGTACATGTGGGAACTCGATACACAATAAAGGCAGCTCTGATATTCGTAGGGATAGAAGGAATTATGTAATAGACAGGGGAGAGAAGACTGGCTCACAATAAATGGACCAACGCGAGCATGGGCGAATCTCTAACAGTCTCCTTGAGGAAAATGTTAGAGGAAAATGTAAAGTTAAGAGAAGGGCGCAGAACGTCCTGAGCAAAACCATGCACATTCAAGTCATTCGATGGGTAAGCATATGAAGGAACGCTCCGACTCGTTGATGACCTGAAGAATGAAAAGGGAAACCAGAAGGAACTGGCACTTGGCATCTCTTAGAGGTGGGCATAGTGTGAAAGTTGGATGATGTCACCAATAGGGACCAATCAAGGGGGTGGGGGTGGGGCAGGCACCTAAGGAGCAAATGGTTCCAACCAGGGGTACACATTCCGTGACACAGCAGTCCTTTCCTGAGAACGTGTAGTAAAGAAACTTTCCTAAGGGGCAGACCTTATTACTGTGAAAAGTCAAAACGTGCGCACCAAAACAGCAGTGTGTGTTTTACAAGAAGACATTTCGATTGATTTGGTTAATTATTGATCATGAACCCGGGAATTGAACCCAGAGCCTTTTCCCTCAGCTGCATCCCAGCCCCTTTATTTTTTAATTTTTTATTTCAAGACAGGGTCTTGCTAAGTCACTAAGTTGCCCAGGTGGGGCTGAACCTGGTGACCCTCTTTCCTCTGGCTCTGGCACCCACAGCCCCGTTTAAGAATACCTTGTTAAAAGGACATACATTGAATGTATTAGGATAGTTGTCTGTAGGAGAAGACAAACAGGAGATGTTTGTTGCTAAAAGTAAGGAAATAAAACAACACCAGGTAGGCTGGTACACACCTGTATCTCTAGCCCTCTTGGAGGCTGGGGCAGGAAGATTCAAAGTTTGAGCCCAAACTGAGCAACTTAGTGAGACCCTGTCTCAAGTAAAGTTAAGAGTAAATAAATAAAAGAACTCGATACACTATAAAGGCAGCTCTGTCTCAAGTAATAAATAAAAATAAATAAAGTAAATACTTTATTTATTTTTTATTTTATTTATTTTTTATTTATTTACTCTGTCTCAAGTAAATAAATAAAAATTTAAAAAGGGTTGAGGACGTACCTCTATATGAAGGCCCTGGGCTCGCTCCCCAGTATTGAAAAAAAGCAGAAAGAAAACAAAAGAAAAGAAATAAAACAGACCAGCAAGTATAAGACTCTGGGTTGAGTTTCTAACACAGCAAAAAAGTAAACCAGTAAAAGAGTGTGGAGTTGACCCAGAGTGAAAACACTCACAGGGCACTAATTAGAAAGGTCAGCAGTGAGGCGATCCCAGATTCCAGGGCCCAGCAATCTCAGCCTTTGGATACTCATGGTTTAGTGGACTACTAAACCATTAAACCTAAACTGAGAAAAAGGAGCCATGGGAGACGGAAACCAACATTAGAGCTCTCCCCAGTGCTGGATTATCACCAGTCAAAAAACAGTGATGGATTTTAGGGAAAATACTTTGGCCTGAATATACCTGGGTGGGGTTTTTATACTGGAACAAGCATTCACGTGTCAGAGTGGAGATGGAAGTCTGGGGGAAAGAAAGACCTTTATTTAGACTTTCAAGGCCTTGGTGTCTCCTATGTATTCCCTCATTTGTAGGATATCATGGGATATCATAAGAGATGGGTTCTTTGTTCCTACTCTGGCTGACTGTCTGTTGTCATAAGCAGCTGTGATAGTCTGTCCAATTGTGATTCCTGGATTAATTAGTAACACATTATAGAAATGCTCTCTGAGGTATAACCTAATGCCTGGATTAATTAGTAACAGCCATGGGCCCCATCCCAGTGTATGCAGTCAGCCTGTGCACCTAGGGAGGAGAAAGAGGCAGTCAAGGTACCAAGCCCCCGTAGCCCTGGTACACCTGATATCCCTTCCTGTGTTGTACAGGTTTCTTGTGGATCCACACGGCATGCATACAAGCAGCTGTTTTCCCATTAGCGTGGTGCTGGGGATTCAAACCCCTGGCCTTACACACTCTAGGCAAGCGCTCTACCACTGCATCTCAGCCCATCCAATTTTCATGCATTAATATTTTCTCCATGTGTATGCATTTTCAACAGGTGCATATATTGTGTACCTTTTGAGACAACAACCCAAATTTTAGACATTTTATGAACAGAATTGGAAAAGTGTACAGAGATGGTCTAGGACTTGCCATGCGTGGGGTCCTGGCTTGATCCCCAGCTGTGGGATATGCACTTTAAATATGTCTAATAATGTTATAACAAGTGCCAATCAACAACTACAAAACAAAATCACAGGGTGGTTGCAAACCCGAGCCCTTCCCAACTGTTAGACACCACAGGTAATGAGGGCTTTTGTCTGACCACTTAGCCAGTTTGCTTCTAGAGGACATTACTTTATCATCTTTTTAGTATGAAACTAATCTCTGTGCTTTTTTAAGATTTCATTAGTTTTCCCATTAATGTACTTTCCCTGCTCCAGAATCCTCTCCAGGCCAGGTCTGATGGTGTTCAGCCACCCTAACTTCTCCAGGTGATCCCTGCATTTGAGACATGGCTACTGGCTGTGGCCCCTGCCCAGCCCAGCGCAGGCCACCATCCCCAGGGGCAGGTGGGGACTGCTCACCTGATGGTGCACTCTGGGCCTTCTCAAGCTGCTCTTGGATACAGTGTTGATTTCTGTTGTTCTCTTTGCTGATTTCTGTTGCCTTCTTCCTGGTCCTCACCGGAGCACAAGATGACGGTCTTTGTTCCCAAGCTCTCCCCAGGAAAGTGCAGCTGAGCCCACAGAGTAGTAGCTCTGCCCTTGGCCCCTGCCACCCTCTCTGCCACTGCAGGTGACTGACCTCTTTAGTGGGTGGCCTTTGGTGGCAGAGCGGCTCCGCCTGACCTCCGGGATCTGAAGTCACCATCGTTGTCGAGTGCCCACCCTGTGCCTCTATTTCCTAGTTATCATCAATATTTAACCACAGAGCAGCGAGTCAAGGCTGGAATTTTATAACTGGTGCTTTTGATTAGGGAAGATTGTGGCGTCATGTGAATTCCTCAAAGGGCTATAAAATGAGACCTTTGGAGGGCAGGGCTGAGAGAGGCTGGGAAAACTGGTGAACCCCAGAGGAGGAAGCAGTCCAGGTCCACCTGGAAGGTGTACCTTCCAGGAAGCAGGAGTGGGGTGCTCCCATCTATGGTCTGTGCACCCCAAGTTCCATGACCCCTGGCTCTACATTGCCAGTGATCATCGTTACTAGGTGAGCAAGGAGGGACTCATGTTCCTCAGATGTGGAGACAGAGGCTGAGTCAGGCTCAGATTCCTAGCCGGGTGTGGTAGCACATGCCTGAAATTCCAGCACCCAGAAGACTGAGACAGGAGGTTCCCTGAGTTCAAGGCCAGCCTTGGCTAGTCTCAGCTTTGTACAAGACAGCATTGTCCAGAAGAAAAAGAACTCAAAAGGGACCCGGCGTGGAATTCTGGTTCCTCTCCATTTCATAACACTTTCATTCATTCATTCAGTAAATGTTGCTTGAGCACGTGCTGTGTGGATCCTGAAAGGATCTTGCCCTAGTATAAATTGCAGTACAGTTATGGCGGTGGTCTACTCTGGTGGAAGGCCAAAGTGGAAATGCTTATCATTTCCTGCTTCTTCAGCCCTAATTACAACTCTCCTTCCTGTTTGCATGTACACGCACACACACACACACACACACACACACACACACACACACACACACAGAATTT